TAATATCTTTTTAATTACGTCCTTAAACAATGAATTTAAAACCACATAGAATGGCAGGGAGCTTCTAGTCTCGCCAACAATGCGATAGAGCGATAAGACAATCTTTCTACGTCACTATCATTAGATTACAATTACTAGGAGGCTAGGAGGTGTGGTATATGTAGATAATGCGTTGCCATGGCAACAATACATCCCAACTATTATAAAACTGATAAAACATAAGTGTGGGAGAGCCATGCTTGCACTGCTGGGCCGGCTCGACCGGAGTGATACCACCAACGAGCAGAAAACCATAGTGAAACAACCACAGCGTTGTGTTCATCGTGTGAGTGAGGGCAGTGGAGACCCATTTACCCCAATCCCCGTCATCCTCCACAATCCTCAAATTCCTAATTCCCAAAAAACCAGTAACGCACTTGTAACGCCTTGGTGTTCCAGGTGTCGATTGGAGGCCCAATTACACCCCTCCCCAATCTCCGAATTCCCAATAATCCATAAACTCCTAATTCCCGGTAAAAAGTCCGGTAACGCACTTGTAACACTTCTAGCGTTCCAGGTGTCCATGGGCGACGCCGATTGCTTACCATCAGGTGATCTAAACAACAAAACTATGTAACTAGAGAATTGTATTGTGAACCTGATTGAAAAAGAGTAACCTATGGAGTTTCTTGCTCGTTCTTAGACATAGGAATCTAGACGTACACCTTGGAATGAGCAAATAGCTTCACTTTTAATTTTATTGTTGACGTTCAAAAGTGCCTTTCTGGTCTAATTGAAATAAGTAAATGACTTTAATAATAATAATAAAGTTTATTTATTCAGATAAATGAGATCCATTGAAATAATAGTAAAGAAAGAACACAATATATAACTATCTTTATATATATAATTCTTCTGTGAGTGTGTATGCACTAAACTTCTCTCAAACGACTGGACCGATTTTGATGAAATTTTTTGTGTGTATTCAAGGGGATCTGGGAATGGTTTAGATTCACAAATCAGCCCGGCAATTTTTAGGTTATTTATCCTAAACAGCTGAACTAATTTGAATGAATTTTGGTTTATACATTCAAGTGGATATGCAGGACAACGTCTGTCGGGTCCGCTAGTACTTAGATACAATATTAATATGCAATAATAAACAGGGATATGCAATAATAAACAGTTCAATGCACTAATTTGGGCATCAATGGACAATCATGGCTATCGACTATAGCAGTCAGGATACTGTGACGACTTCCACGCAGGCGACTGATGAGCGATGCGGTTTTTTTTCGCCACTTTGACTTTGATCCGTCAGCTCGTTCACCGCTTTGTGCCATTGCAAAATAAAACGCTTTATCATGCGATGTTTTGATGTTTTGTATCGTTTCGTCAATATGACGTCTGTCAGTTATTTTTGGGTTTCACTAACCCACGCTTCGCTATATACAAATACATACGGCTTCAAATTAAGCGATAAACCAATATATCATGGGCTCGCGTTATATGATAATTGCGCATATTCGAGTATCAGTTTATAGTGGTTTTTTTAGCTCGATAGCTGCCTATAAAAACATTGAATCAGTTTCCTTTGAAATAGTTGGGAATAGAAATGCTCTCGATAAGTCTTGATGATGTATTTACAAACAAAAATATTTATCAAAGTAGACTCAGGCAAAGTATTACTGGGTTTTTAAAAATCTAAGTAGTAGCACGGAGTCTGGAATTGTGCCCGGTATGTGGCAATAGACTCACCCCCTATTACATGGGACTCGTAATATAAATAGTGAAAAGTGGGTGTTACATTGTACAGTGGCATTAAGTGTCGTAATGTGCACCTCTGCCTATCCCTTCGGGGATAAAATGGCGTTATATTACGTTATGTATTTACAAATAAAAATTGTATGTCAGCATATAAGTAGTTAGTCGTGGTGGCCCGGAGGTTTAAGGGCTCGTACACAAGACTGCGATGCGAATTCGCAACGTAAAAATTACGATGCGAATTGTTGCGATGCGATTTCGTGCGACAAGGCGTCTCCCAGGGTGACCATTCCTTCGACGACCGTCAACCGTACAAAACGTATTTTAAATTGAAAACTAGGTCGTGACATGGATCGTAAACAGAAGTGTGCACTTCTGTTATTGCTTAGGAGATACAGGAACAAGAAACAAAGAAGATTTTGGGAATATAAGATTTAGATGCGCGAATCAATTCACAAGTTCTTGTGATGCGTAGAGGGAGCTCGCACATGTTTGCGATGCGACGCTGTTATCGACATGACGCTCCGTCAGAATGACGTCTGTGGCTAGATGTCATCCCAGTCCCAAAATAATGGGTGGCTCCCCGTCTGACCAGAAACAGACCCGAGCGTACGGCGCGTCGCGTTCCGCGCGCGCCTCAAAGAGCCATCAGACCACCACAGATGGGGCCCAACAGGGCTGATGCCGATTCGGAGTCGCGGAGAACCTAACGGGTTACAGGGCCTCCGGCTCGACGTGCAGGAGAAGGAACGGGGTGGTTTTTAGTCAGTAAGCGTCTGACACTCCCTCCCACCTCACCCAGGCGGGAGCAGTCATTCGATGATTTCCACCCCCTTAAAAAAAAGTCCCAAAACAAATAATAAGCGGCTGTGACGGCGCCGACACATATATATGGTCGAATTGAGAACCTCCTCCTTTTTTGAAGTCGGTCAATAAACAAATTCTTTGATTCAAATTGTTTATTAAAATAACTACGTTTAACAAAACTCGGGCGCGTACTTAAGGTCAATTTAATTTCAATGAATGAATACCTAGCAATCGACTCACCCAGTTCAATACTGGAGACTTTATACTATGCTGGAGACTGCTCATCATAATATACTCGAATAACTAGCTCTTGAATCGATTTTTAACTCTATAACCAAGTCTTTAAGGTTAAAAATCTTTCGGCAACTTAGCTTAGATCAAATTGTACCTAATTGACAAACCTCTGTAATAGATTTTCCACCATGTCATTAAGTATTAAGGTTGAAAATCTCTCAGCAATTTAGTGTAGCTTAATGAGAATTATTTGACAATAATAAATTAAGGTAATGGGGATGATGACAGGGTATGAAAATTAAAAATATAATTAGTCCGTAAGTTAGGTAATGAAAAAATATTAGACACGTATTTTTTTATTTTGTCGTATAATAAAACAATACTTAGATAAAACGAATCAAAGTTTAGGAGTGGGGGCTAAAACGTCATTCCTTAGTATAAAATGTACTGAGAAGTGACGTCACGCGACATTTCAAATCAATATATCTTCGAAACTATTCGTTTCTGTGAGAAAATAAAAAATACGTGTCTAATGTTTTTAAATAATCTATCAGACGGACATTAAAATAAAAATTAGTCGTCTACCCCATTGTCACTTCAAAAATAAATGAGTTTTATTCTCGTATTGTTAGATAAATAGGGTAGATGCCTAATTTTTATTTCAATGTCCGTCTGGTAGATTATTTTAAACCATTAGATAGGTATGTTTTTTTTCTTACATAAACGAATACTTTCGACGATATATTGATTTGAAATGTCGCGTGACGTCACTTCTATGTACATTTTATATGTAGAAATGACGTTTTAGCCCCCACTCCCAAACTTTGATTCGTTTTTTCTAAGTATTATTTTATTATACGACAAAATAAAAAAATACGTGTCTAATATTATTTCATTACATAACTTACAGACTAATTATATTTTTAATTTTCATACCGTGTCATCATCCTAATTGTTCATTGAATAAATAGGGGGCATTCTCATTAGGTAATGTCGTCATGAGCTAATGGTAACATGTAAACAGTGACTCATGTAGTGTAGAGGTTGTCCAGCCAACAGATGGTAGCGTGGACTGTCCAGGCGATACAAACTTATAAATAGGGATAGAAGAGGGAGAATCGGTACTATGGAATATTTTCCAATATCTTTTCTGTCTCTATTCACCAATTGATCCATATCCACCCCATTTTACGGTAGTAGCACGGAGTCTGGAATTGTGCCCGGTATATGACAATAGGCTCACCCCCTATTACATGGGACTCATAACATAAATAGTGAAAAGTGGGTGTTACATTGTACAGTGGCATTAAGTACCGTAATTTGCACCTCTGTCTATTCCTACGGGGATAAAAGGCGTGATGTTAAGTTATGATGATCCTTTTTTATAAATTACTAGCGACCCGCCCCGGCTTCGCACGGGTGCAATATACATGTATTATACATACAAACCTTCCTTAAGAATCACTCTATCTATTAAAAAAAACCGCGTCAAAATCCGTTGCGTAGTTTTAAAGATCTAAGCATACATACGGACATACAGCGAAAGCGACTTTGTTTTATAACTCGACTTGATTCAAGCCATGCTAGACGCTCCTCGTCCTCGTCTTCGTCCTCGAGTTCCTCGTCAAATTACTACGTGAGTAAGCCGAAAACATAATAATTTATTTACCTAGTATGTCTCACGAAAGTTACAATCCTTTTTATCCCGATCTTTGCCTAACTAATCCCCAAAAGGCCGGTAACGCTCTTGTAACGCCTCTGGTGTTCCATGTGTCTATGGGCGGCGCTGATTGCTTACCATCAGGTGATTCGTCTGCTGGCTTATGCCATAAATAAAAAAGTCAGTCAACTGATGGTAGCATGCGATTTAAACGAAATTAAGTTTCGCTTAGTCATGGCTTAGTCACGTTGACTAGTTAGTTCTTAATTTTTGTCTGCTCGATGACACTCGTCGTGCACGCAGCTAGTGGTTATGAGCCCCGTTAAAGTTCGAAACTAGTCAAGAGTCCTCGAAAGTCTACTTATGAGTGTTCGTTTCAAAAGTACCAAACTATGGTTTAATTGAAATAAATGCTTTGACTTTTGACTTTGACTTTGATTTTCTATTAATATTATTTGAATTTACTATATCTATATATAGTTGACAACCTTACTAATGTTCCATATTTACGCTTTTTTCAGTTGTATCGAGTAATGTGAGGTGGTGACGTCAAAATATGGCGGTCGGGGAGGCGCGCGTCCCTCTGCTGCACGGCGACAGGCAGGCGCCGGCGCATACACATCATGGTGAGTTGTGTGTATGTTTGTTACTAAATTACTTCAGAACTGCTGAGTTTGCCCAGGTAGATATATTCCTGAACAACTTCGAGAGACGACCCGTTGAGGACAATAATTGTTTCCGGAAGAACATGTTCATTAAACATTATTATGTTTAGTTTGTGCCTGAATAATACTACGACTCTGGAAGTACGAAATAAGACACCTTTTTTTTAAGGGGGGAAAATCATCGAATGCCTTCTCCCGCCTGTGTGAGGCGGGGGGGTTGTCAGACACTTAATGACTGAAAAACCACCCCGTTCCTACTCCTGCACTTCGAGCCGGAGTCCAGGCAACCCGTTAATTCCTCCGCGGCCCCGTATTAGATATGAGCGCCGGTATTTGATAAGTCGGCGGCGGCGCGCCGACTAAAAACAGTCGGCGGCGGCGGCGCAGTCGGCGGCGCGACCATGGCAGTGAATCTAGTGCGAGGGAAGAAATGAAATGCCACTGTTTTCTGTTACTTATTGCTTTTAATTATATCACAGTGAATTAAACATTTTTGAGACAAGAAACAAAGAGATCTATATTTTGTTATATCTATTAAACTTTTTTGACGAAAATAATTAACTACCTATTCTAACATTTGCAAGTACAAATAATCAACAATACCAACAAATTTAAATAATAATAAAACAATACAGAGGTATATACCTAGAAGCTACACAAGCTAAGCTATTGATAAGGTTTTTGGCAATTGAGTCCAGGTACTACAGTAGTTGTAGGTACACATAATTACAACTTAATCATAGAGCCCACACTTACAATATTAGCAAAATAATAGATAAGAAAAACGAAACAAAAAGTTATAACGAAAATTATGCATCGAGTAATCAAACAAGCAAACTAAATATCAGCTTTGCACTGGGTGTAATTGTCATGAATGAATATAATACGATTTACTCAGGATTTAGTCGGGATCTTTTAGCCGTTATCAATTGTCCAGCGACGGAAATACTCTTTCGCTTGGGGTACTTGTCGCTGGGACGAATAGTACTGCACGCGCCAAACTTGACAACCACGGAAATGATTTATTTCGTTCCTGCCATATTCAAGTACATTATCTTTATAGGCCTGAAGATCTGCGGGCGTAGCTGTGCTAAAAATATTTCCAGCACTCGGTTTCGATTATGCTGTCTATGTCAGCAGAGTTGACAGAAGTGCTGTGTCTTTTTGCTAGGTTCATGAAGAAAGATGAAGATGGTTTCGAAGTACTGGGTCCAGGAGTTGCATCTTGTCTTATATGCTCCTGGACAATATCTATTTTTCAAAGTAGTTTTTGCATAAGTAGATAAAATGTAACTTGGTGGTTTGGTGTTGTTCCATGTAAACGTCATATCTTTGATAGATTGGAATCTGCATCTAATAACGTGGCAGCTATAATCAGGTCTGTGCAAGGAAAGCGGTAATCTAATTTAAGGGACATGTTATTTTTAACATTGTTATCAGTGCCGGTCATTGTCATCACATTCATCTAGTATTCTCCTTATTTCTGATTGAAAACCAACGCTAAATTGATCGTAGTTTGCGAATCTGAACTCATCATTTCCACTATTGTTTTCCTCCAACGTTCACAATTAACTGACCGAAATAATTCCAACAAAAACTGTGTTTGTTGGTGGATATTTTATTTAAAACAGTTACGGACAGCTCCCTTATTTTAGTTTTTGTAACCTCTATCTCTTCTGTCGACATTTTGTACTTATTTTATAACAAATAATACGCGCGGGCGTAGCGAACAGCGGGAGCGAACTGAGTTTTGCCAGCCGGCCGGCGCGCCGTCCGCTTCCTTCGGCGGCGGCGGCGGGGTGGTAAAGCGCGGCGGCGGCGGCGCGCCGGCGCGGCGCTCATATCTACCCCGTATCGGCATCGGCCCTATTGGGCCCCATCCGTGGTGGTCTGATGGCTCTTTGAGGCGCGCGCGGAACGCGACGCGCCGTACGCTCGGGTTTGTTTCTGGTCGGACGGGGAGCCACCCATGCTCGCCGTCCGCAGGCCCGCGCTTACGGTGGCCGGAGATCGTCCCGCGATCCCCGACGCCCGGTGTGTCCTTCGCGACTTCTTCTTTCTTTCTTTCAGTTTGCAAAATATCTCCGACAGATTGCATCAAGTATAATGTCTCAGAGATAAAATTAGATATACAATGTTATCTAGAACTAACAGTAAACACTAGCTAATAGATAAGAGTGAGAGTACCTTAATACACATAACCAGCATATAATGGTCTGGCTTTATTAGACCTTTCCTTACACTGGACGGTCAATTTATTCTGGTGGCTGAAGACCAGTGTATAATGATCTCGCATTGTATGACCATTCCGCACATTCAAAGATCAGTGTATACTGGTTTTTCATATCTTTGTGTGTGTGCCTTTCTACCTACATAGCAGAGTCGCAAGTCAACCTGCGTCAATCTGTCATGGGATTTTAGACTTTATATCAAATAGATAAGGTTGGAAATCTAATAAAGACGAAGGGATGGGTTGATCTGCTGTTTGTATGTAATTGATAAGTCGCCATAAATGATAATATATCTTAACGTCATGTTCATTGAAATAAGAATTAAGTAGTGATGTAATATAAAGCGGATATATATCCGAAACTAGTAACATCACGCCTTCCATCCCCGAACGGGTAGGCAGAGGTGCACATTATGCCACTGTACAATGTAACTCCCACTTTTCACTATTTATGTTATGAGTCCCATGTAATAGGGGGTGAGCCTATTGCCATATACCGGGCACAATTCCAGACTCCGTGCTACTACTGAGATTTTTTTTTTAAACCCCAGTAATACAAAATTCTCAGTAGTAGTGGAGTGTTACATTGTACAGTGGCATTATTTGCCGCACCTCTGGCTACCCCTTCGGGGATGAAAGGTGCGATGATATATTGTATCCGTATTCGGATAAATATCCTCCACAGCACATCACTAGACATCTCGTGAGTTTCTCTGATAAAACTAATAGATAAAGATAAAGTATATATTTAAGTAATAGTTATATAGTAATAAGTCCGTTATCGTATCGTTATCATTATATCATTCGTTATGCACTCGATGTATTGATAGTTATTTGTTTGTCATTTATTATTATTGCTGCATGTATTATTAATGATGACATATTGTTATTGTTATTGCAATATTAAGAGAGAAATGTTATGCAGTAGTATAAACGTTGGGTATTATAAACTAGCTTATGTTCACGGCTTCGTCCGCGTTCCCATAGGATAAAAAGTAGCCTATGTACTATTTCATGTCATAATCTATCTCTATTCCAAATTTCATCTCTATCCCTTCAGAGACCGTGTTGACGTGAAGGAATTGCAAACATACAAACAAACACAAAGAATCTCACAAACTTTCGCATTTATAATATTAGTAAGACTATGTTCTGCCCGCGGTTTCACCCGCGTTCCAGTCAAATAAAAAGAACTCTAATAATAAAGTAGTAATCTACCCCTGTTGCAAGTCGCGGAGAACCTAACGGGTTACCGGGGCTCCGGCTCGACGTGCAGGAGAAGGAACGGGGTGGTTTTTAGTCAGTAAGAGTCTGACACTCCCTCCCGCCTCACCCAGGCGGGAGCAGTCATTCGATGATTTTCCCCACTTAAAAAAACCTTGTTGCAAAGTTTATTTCAATCCCGTCAGCCGTTCTGACGGGATTGTGTAATAAACACACACACACACATACACAATTGCTTTTGTGCGATGTCATCGTGCCGTGCACGTAACGCTTGAATATCAGTCCCGCTTTGAAATGAAATCAGTCGAGTTTCCTCGTCGAACAGTTCTTTACTACACTTTCTTTTCTTTCGCTTACACTGAGTGGGTGACACATTTACCATAGGCATGTTGTCAGCGTCTCTCTTCTAATTCTTCTGTTTTATATTTAACAACTCAATGTTTTTATTACTTCCACTGTCACACCTTTATTGTCTTTTTATATTTTACTAGCTTTTAACCGCGGCTTCGCTCGCGTCACAAAAGGATAAAAGTAGCCTATGCGACATATACCAATACACACAGCGCCATCTATACCAATTCTTTTGTTTTTCCTCGGGAATATCAAAATTTTCCGGGATAAAAAGTACCCTATTATTTAATCCAGACTTCTAACTTTACGTTTACAAAAATTCAAAGCAATCGGTTTAGAAGATACGGCGTGAAAGCGGAACAAACAAACAAACTCACTTTCCCATTTATAATAGTAAGGATTTATGCTGCATCGTGCTTGGTGCTGAATAAATGACTTTTCTTTCTTTCTTTCTATCTTTCTTTACGATAGTAGCATCTCTACATAAGAGGGTTTGTCATAATCTCCGCAGGCAGGCTGATTGGGTGGTTCATAGGAGCCGGCCAATCAATACTTGTATTCGCTAGCCTCGGTCCCTTAGCCAGTTACAAGATCCCCTCATGAAGAGCTTCAAACATCATCAGCTTATAAGTATCCACTGCTGAGCAAAGTCCTCTTCTCACACGGAAAAAGTTTGGGCATCTATCACCACGCTTGCTCAATGCGTGGACGATTTCAAACTTATAATTAGAAATAGCTTAGGTTTCATCAACTTGATTGTTTTCACATTGATACTTGCTGGTTTCGAACCCGCATTCTCTAGCATGAAAAGCGGGTCTTAAACCTCCGGGCCACCACGAATTTGCACTTCATAGCATACTACATAACATAACATAACATCACGCTTTTTATCTTTGAAGGGGTAGGCAGAGGTGCACTTTATACCACTGTACAATGTAAAAAAAAAAAAAAATAAAAATAAAACTTTATTCATAATAACAAAAACGCCAAATTAAAAAATATATCTAAATTACGTACAATTGACCTCAAATAGTTAGATGCCTGCACTAGGACAATCCTGTATCGCAGGCGAAAGGAGGTCTTAATATAATTTTTACAATAGCACATCTTATTTCTATAGACACAAATATTTATCAGAATGCAATAGAAAACAATATATAATGATTATTTTAATATATATATATTCAAACATACTTACATAAAATAACATAACCTCATACCCTACATTCTCAGAAAAGATAGGCAGAGGTGCATAAGTAATGGTAATATAATATTATAATATATCTAATAAATATACATACGTAAACAATACAATTATAAATCAGTTCGAAAATAAAACTATCACTATTGCCGAGGAATTAACATGCATCAGCAGAAACATATACTAGGTTAAAGTCCATACGGTCATTCACTTGGTTCTTAATTTCACAATAATAATTGTGCTTATTCAGCAACAGAGCGATGACTAATATGTTTGATGTATAGGTAGTGTTGTGCAAGGAAAGGCTTCGGAAGTGTCATCAATTCGGAAATGTGACCTAGACTAGAGTATGACGCATTATGTGCCCTCGTAGTCAATCGAATTGATGTACCTGAATTCTGCTATCTTCCTAGCAGGGCACTCAGGGTCTCCCGTTTTATGATCACTGGGCTTATTAAAGCGAGAGCAAGAGGCACATTTAGAAGCTTCCACTTTTTTCGTGCACGCAGATGTTACATGGCCCATTTCTCCGCAGTGTCCACATGACGAGAGGTCTCTGCATGTTTTAGCGGCATGCCCATACTGTTGGCATTTGTAGCACCTGGTAACTAATGTATAATCTCTCACAGGGCAAGAAGTCCAATTTATGTATATCCTTTCTTGAGATATGAGGGCTTTGCGGATCTTAGCTGGAACTTGTATGATGAAATTGCAGTTCGCTGTATCTTTCTTCCCGGATTTATGGCTTAATTTGATATTGCTTAAAAAGGCTTCCAGTGACATCTCCGGAAAATTTTCAGCGACATTTTGCTCATAGAGACACTTTAATACGTCAGTATCAGTCATAGAAGTGGGCACTCCTACCACTGTTATTCTTGGTTGGCGCTTGTTGGGCTCACCGGTAATAAGTCCAGTCGACGAAAGGTTAACTGCCTGCTTCACTTTCTCAACATCTTCCTTGGTCTCAGTGCTAATTATCACACCACCGTTTTGAATTTTCCTGACTCCACGTACATGTAGTTTCATTTGATCCGGGCGAATGATTTGCTGAACTAATGTTTTAGTTTCGTCACTAGATTTTAATTTGTTGACAGGATAAATGGCGACAGAGCTTAAATTACTGGGTTTTATGTAATCATTTGACCCTTTTTTTACCATATCAGCAAAGGACATGTTTGTTGTTGCGGGAGAGGTCTTAATTGTTTGTTTTAATTCAATGATTTCTTCTGCTAGGTCTCGTTTTTCGTGAAGGTTGTCAATTATGTCGATTGCTTGGTTGGCCTTTTGCTTCAGAGACTGGTATAGGACTGCCATTTGAGAGACGCCAGATCCTATTTTGCGGCTCAGGTTACTGATTCTTAGTTTCTGCTCCGAATTCAGTTTGCCTTCCGTGGCAATAATGCAGACCTCATTTAGCTGCTTCTCGATAGATGACATCCATTTTTGAAGTTCTGATGTGGAGACTACTTCAATATAGAAGTCAGATTGATGACTTTTGACTTGTGAAGCACAGGCCCGTATATTGCTGGGGCTGTTATCCATTTTTAAATCAGTTTATGTTTCCATATTAGTACGTAAACTTCGCAGTAGGCAAAAAATTTAAAGGAGGTCACTATGTATACGTTAATACAATTTTGTTATTTATGTGCACGTCTGTTCACTGCAAGGGCAGCCGAGTGACACCCACTTTTCACTATTTATGTTATGAGTCCCATGTAATAGGGGGTGAGCCTATTGCCATATACCGGGCACAATTCCAGACTCCGTGCTACTACTAAAAATGATTTAAAAACCCAGTAATAGTTTGCCCGACCCGAGACCCCTTGCCCGGCAGTCGCAATTGCGACCACTCGGCCAACGAGGCAGTCTTAGTATACTTTACGTTTGTAATTTGTTCCAGAGCCAGCAGTCCACAAGGCTCCCCTGGACCACTCGCGGCTGGGGCGTGGCACCACAGTGGTGACGTCACTCGTAGCTGGTGCCACCGCTGGAGCCATCGCCAAGACTGCTATAGCACCGCTAGATCGCACCAAGATTAACTTTCAGATCTCGTATGTATTGTAATCTCTAATAGATTTCTTATGGTATATGGAGCAGATGGATCACCTGATGGTAAGCAATCGGTGCCGCTCATGGACACCTGGAACATCAAAGGCGTTACTAGCGCATTGCCGGCCTTTTAGGGGTAGAGATTGAAGGATTGGGGGATCTGGCGACTGGCGACACTGCGAAAACCAACGCAAGCGTTGTTTCACGCTAGTTTTTGAGGCCATGGTATCACACCGGCCGAGCATAACTAATGATTAAATACTCAATGGCTACTCAATTTTATGACGCTTACAAGAATAGTTATATCACTACAAACGCTTTATAAAATGATAGAGATAGCACGGTATTTCAGTATTCGGGCGTAATTTTTTTTAACCTTTTATAGACAGACTTCTTATTCACGGCGGGCAATAAATTTCCTCTTACAGAGTACCCGCACTGAGGGGCTTTTAACACTATGGCGGAGCTTCAAGTCATCATACATACATACATACATACATACATAACTTCACGCCTGTTTCCCATGGGGGTAGGCAGAGACCAATTACTACGTTTCGTACATACCTCTTTCGCTTCATTAACAGTCATCAATCTTTTCATGCATGCTCGTCGGTTAAGGGTACTTTTAATTTGGCCCTTCTTTAATATATCGCCAATCTGGTCACTATATGTCCGCGTTGTGATTCACTACCATACATAAGCGTTGGTGTCAATACACACTGCATTACAGCAAGTCGACCTTTGCTGGATATTATTTTACTCGACATTACAGAGTGTAAAGCACCATTAACACTAATTCCCGCTTTCACTCTCCTTTCAATATCCCCGTCACACTTTCCATCAAGTGAAACAAGTGAATTTATTTCTGCAAATAGGCTACAAGGCAGCACTTTTACACGTCAATGTCACATCTGTCGTAGTGATCCCAGATACACAAATTCATTCACTTGTTCCAATTTTTCATTACCTATCATTATCTGACATTCTGTTATCACCTCATTTCTTTCTGTCACCAACACTTTCGTCTTGTTCACATTTACTTTCATACCTCTTCTTTCAAATGCATCACTCATAGCAGTGATCATTTGTTGTAATTCTTGGGCCGACGAGGCAACAAGCACCTGGTCGTCGGCATACAACAATGTTTTAATCACTGTGTCATTCATCCTTAATCCAGACTCTCCTACTTTCAGGTCGTTCAAACAGCTGTCCATAAATAGGTTGAACAGCCAAGGAGATGCTACACAGCCTTGCTTAACACCTAGTCTTGCCTAACATCAAGTTATCAATCACGAAAGAGTCTAATATTCTTTGATCACTTACAGACAGACTCCTTATTCATGGCGAGCAGCGATAAACTTCCTCCTGACAAGTGCCCGCACGGAGGGGCTCCTGGCATTATGGCGCGGTAACAGTGCCACTATGGCGCGTATAGTGCCGTACGCTGCCATACAGTTTACTGCGCATGAACAGTGGAAGAAGGCGCTTGGAGTTGATACGCCGCAGAGTGCCAAGTGAGTAGCTATTTAGTTTACGAAAGCTTTTCGCCCCCTAAACTATCACTAAAATTATTTCGAGGTATTAACAAAAACTTAAGAAAGATATTAATTTTGTTTTAAACAAATTTAGTTATTGAAAATGTATAAGAAAATTGTTTTTTTTTATATGTCACTAGCGACCCGCCCCGGCTTCGCACGGGTACAATATGCATGTATTATACATATAAACCTTCCTTAAAATCCACTTTATCTATAAAAAAAACCGCATCAAAATCCGTTGTGTAGTTTCAAAGATCTAAGCATACATAGGGACAGACAGACGGCGACATCGTTTTATACTATGTAGGGATAAGCCGGTAAACGAGCAGACGGATCACCTGATGGTAAGCAATCGGCGTCGCCCATGGACACACGGAACACCAGAGTTACAAGTGCGTTACCGGCTTTTTGGGAATTTGAAACAACGCTGTGGTTGTTTCACTATGGTATTCTGCTCGTTGATGGTATCACTCCGGTCGAGCCGGCCCAGCAGTGCCGAAGCATGGCTCTCCCACACTTAAAAATGTTTTGTTCTAAAGTACTGACTGCGTCGTTGGCCGAGTGGTCGCAAGTGCAACTGCCAGGCAAGGGGTCTCGGGTTCGATTCCCGGGTCAGGCAAAGTATTACAGATTTTTTTTTAATCTCAGTAGTAGCACGGTGTCTGGAATTGTGCCCGGTATATGGCAATAGGCTCACCCCCTATTACATGGGACTCATAATATAAATAGTATAATGTACACCTTTGCCTATCCCATCGGGGATAAAAAGTGTGATGTTTAATTATTAAGTATAGGGTTATTAATAGTGTACTTACTTAATAAATTTTTTTTTCTTTAAAAAAGAACATTGCCCCGCACTAGGATTTTCTCCTGTGTCGTGTGTACGTTTACAAACATACAAATTCACAAACACATGACACCCAGACCAGAAACAACAATTTGTGGATCACACAAAGTGTTGTTCCGTGCGGGTAATAAACCCGCGACACGTCGCACGGCAGCCGGTTGCCCAGCCACCGCACCAACCGTGCAGTCAAAATATATAATGACATATCATACAGAACATATTATTCTCGTTGATTTCAGAGCACACCCAGTCCTCCACTTAATAGCGGGTTCCCTGGCAGGTGTGACGTCACAATCAGCTACCTACCCCCTAGACATGGCGCGGGCTCGCATGGCAGTCACCAATGTATCAGAGTACAGCACATTGCGAACTGTATTCGTCAGAGTAGCCAGGGATGAGGGCTTAAGGACGCTTTATAGGTATGTACTAAATACTCCGCTCCTTTGACCGTAGCGTGATGATACAAGGTGTTGTTTTAAAACCGCGTCATTTTCTTGGAGGTAACTCGGCTATCGATTCTGAGTTCGAATCAATAAAAAAAATTGTAGGTAAATATTTTACATTTTTCTGTAAATTACGGAAATCCGTAAGTGCGAACTACACGCCGCCGTCTTGTAACTAGCTTTATAACGCGGCTCAACACACACAAACTCAAACACGTAATTGATATTATTCCTAATTCCATAAAACTCCAATAAGAAACATTGCTGTCGCTTATTCTGAAATACTGTCGAACTTAAACGATTTATTATAGCCGTATTTTTAACTATTGGCCCAAAATTTTCTCTTACATTGAACCTTTATGACTTCTGTGACATGCCCCCGAGAAATGACACGGCTTCAAAACTACACCTTGTATAGCCTACAACCTTCTTCTATAAGTGGACTATACAACACAAAAATAATAGGGATGATAACAGGGTATGAACATTAAAAATCTAATTAGTCCGTAAGTTAGGTAATGAAAAAATATTAGACACGTATTTTTTTTATTTTGTCGTATAATAAAACAATACTTAGATAAAACGAATCAAAGTTAGGAGTAGGGGCTAAAACGTCATTTCTACGTATAAAATGCACATAGAAGTGACGTCACGCGACATTTCAAATCAATATATCATCGAAAGTATTCGTTTCTGTAAGAAAATAAAAAATACGTGTGTAATGTTTTAAAATAATGTACCAGACGGACATTGAAATAAAAATTAGGCATCTACCCTATTATTGAAATCGGTCCAGTAGTTTCGGATATATGAGCGTTCAAATAAATTCTTCGATTCTCGTTGTGGCTCGGAGGTTTAAGACGCCCGCTTCTCATGCATGAGGGGCGGGTTCGAAACCTACCAACGGCAAGTACCAATGTGACATTTTCCGAGTTATATACTTTCTAAGATTATCTAGACACCACTGACAAACGGTGAAGGAAAACATCGTGAGGAAACCTGGACTTATTATTTCTGATTATAAGTTTGAAATCGCCAACCCGCATTGAGCAAGCGTGGTGATTAATGCTCAAATCTTCTCCGTGTGAGAAGAGAGCTTTGGTAAACAATTAATTTCAATACACTTGATATCAATGTACATATATTATGATAATGTAATGTATGTTTGTTCGTGTTATACAGAGGGTACTCGGCGACGGTGCTAGGCGTGATCCCGTACGCCGGCGTGTCCTTCTTCACATACGACACGCTTAAACATAAGTATTTTGGTAAGTTATTGTGAATTATACTTTATTTGTATGAGTTTTAAGATCAAAATGTTAGTAATGTTAATGTTTTAAGTGTGGGAAAGCCATGCGCCGGCATGTGCCGGCTCGACCGGAGTGATACCACCAACGAGCAGAAAACCGACGGCGTTGTTTTACGTCGTGTCAGTGAGGTTACCAGAGGTCCAATTAACCCCGTCCCTAATCTCTGTAATTCTCGAATAATCTTTCTAACCATTATGACCTTTATTACTTTTCTTTATGGAGCCGGTAAATGAGCAGTCGGATCAGGATCACCTGATGGATGGCTGATAAGCAATCGGCGTTGCCTATGAATAGTCAAAGGTCAAAAGTCCACTGCCACCGTGAGTGATGTTCACACGGCAATGCTCAAGTAATTTCATATTAATGAGCATAAACACGCGTGCGTACACACACACACACACACGCACGCGTACGCACACGGATACAAATATGCGTGTGTGTGGGTATATGCGCTGCAGCGCAACCGATAGCAGTCTTACGGTGGCAGTCGACTGTTGACCTTTGACCGTACACCCGAAACACCTGTAGTGTGTGTGACACCTCGCCCTATAAGTAAGTAGTGTAAGTTAGATATGAAGACACTTAATTAAAGTTACTCCTAACAACAACACGTCTCCCTCATTGCTCCACATTGCAATGTGAGGATATATGAGTAACTATGATAATCCTTATCTAAGGGCCCAACTATATCTAAATATATTTTATCAAATGCTGACTGCGCAGTCGTGGTTATTACCATTGGTTGTTTTGTATGCAACGAATGCTTTTGTTTTTGACATTTGTCACATTTTTTCACAAATCCTATAATGTCTTCTACCATGTTTGGCCAAAAGTAATAACGCTTTATATTATTTGTCATACGTTTAATACCTGCATGCCCGCTAGTGGGAAGCAAGTGAAAATCATTTAATATTACCCGTTTATCGTCGTCATTTGTTATTCTTATTAAATTCTTCAATATTAAAATTCGTGGACCGGTCCAATCATAATTCCTAATATATTTGGTTAACCATTTTATATATTTCTCATTCATCTCATTTTTAATGATATAAACTTCATCAATTGATATTTTTTTACAGATAGATTCCAAATCTCTCACGAAAGCGTCTCGCGCTGAGCATGATCGAGAAATTGGGTCTAAATAAATTGTCAATTTAGATGGTACATAAATAAAGTCATTTACTTTAATATATTTACTGTTATGTTTTAGTATACACCGAGAAAATATTAATTCAGTGCAATTATTCGGCTTTTTAAGAATTTCAACGATTTTCGGTTGATCAGACCGACCATCTGTTTTGTTCTTATCGACCGAAGAATTGTCATCTAATGTCTTTTTTGCCATACTTCGTGTCATGACATTTAAGACATTCTGATTCATATTTTTTAATTCATCGGATGTAATCACGATGCGAGATAACGCGTCTGCAGCCACGTTATTCACACCCTTAACATATTCAACTTCGTAGTCGTACTCATCTAAGGTTAATCGAAACTTTATTAGTCTACTGGACGGGTTATTGAAACCAAATAAATAAAGTAAAGGTTTATGGTCTGTTTTGATCTTAAACTTTTTACCAAATAAATACGGCCTAAAATATTTAACGGACCAAACAATAGCAAGGAGTTCCTTTTCTATTGTTGGATAGTTTAACTCGGATTTATTGAGCGGCCGGCTTGCATAAGCAATCGGCATATCATTTTTATTACATAACACGGACCCTACAGCTACACCAGAAGCATCCGTGTGCAATATGAATTCATTATCGTTCTCAAAATTTGGATATTGTAAAATGGGTGGATTGGCTAAACATTGCTTTAACAGATTAAATGAACGCTCACATTCTGTATTCCAAATAAAATGAGTACCTTTCCTGCATAGTCTATTCAAAGGTATTGTTATATCAGCAAAGTGTGGAATAAATTTGCGATAGTAATTCGCGAAAGCAACGAAACGTCTCACTTCGTCACTATTTTTTGGCGTGGGGTAATTTTGTATTACTCGTGTTTTTGTAGGGTCAGGCGAAACTCCATTAGCAGATACAATGTGGCCTAGATACAGTAATTCTTTCTTCAAAAACTGACATTTTTCAGGGTTAATTTTTAGATTTACCCTTCTAAGCCGTTCAAAAATATCAATTAAATTCTTATTATGCGAATGTAAGTTGCGTCCTATACAAATAAGATCATCCAAATAGACCAGACATTTTTCATGATTTAAACCAGACATTGCTACCGTCATTAACCGACTAAAAGCACTTGGGCTGATTTTCAAGCCCATTGGGAGTCGCTTCATTTGATATTGTTTGCTTGTAGTAAATGCAGTGTATTTCCTACTTTCTGGACATAATTCTAACTGATAATAACTTTGGCTAAGGTCTAAGTGGCTGAAATAAATTGCTCCTGATAAAGAATCCAGTATATCTGAAATATTTGGTAAAGGGAACTTATCGTCTTTAAGATTATTATTTAATTTCCGATAATCAATAACAATTCGCCATTTTTTATTACCGCTATTGTCACATTTTTTTGGCACTAAAAGAACAGGGCTAGACCATTCACTCGTACTTTCCTCGATAATGTCATTACGTAACATATCTTGGATTTGTTTATCAATCTCAGTTTTTTGACTTTTAGGGAGCCTATAGGACTTGGTGTACACTGGGTTAGTATTTTCTTTCAAATGAATTGACTGTTTATATAAATTGGTAACGCCTAATTTTCGCCTGGTAAAAAAAATACATCTGAGTACTTTGCACAAATGTTTTCGATCGAAATTTGTTCTTCTTTATTTAAATGCTTTAAATTCAATACCGAAAATAATTGTTTCACACGATTCGCATTTAAGTTAAAACTTTCAAAAGAACATACAAAATATTCATTTAAAGGCACAATGTCGGGCGTGAAATAACTTAAGCATATGTCTGTCTCTCGGGTGTTAAAAATGTTAATGGTATTTTACCATCTATAGGTTTTACTAAAACAGACGCTAAAAATACGCCTTCACTTAACTGTTTAGACATAACAACACCTTCATCTTTTAAACTTGTCTCTACTAAGTAAGTAACTTCACATCTGGCCGGTATAGTCATGTAAGTATTGTTGCCGAGTTGCCCCATTTGTAATGGGATAACAATGGGTACGTCATGATTAATTGTCAATATATTTCGCTCAAAATCTAATATGCAATTAAATCTACTCAAGAAATCTTGTCCTAATATACCATCTGTTCTACAAGTAAAGTTCTTAAATACATAAAACCTATGCTCGAACTCATAATTATTATAATTCAATTTAAGATAAACAAAACCATCACAATACACATGACCACCTATACCGTTTATTTTAATGCGCTCTATATGGAAAGGAATGTGCAGGCTCTCTAACGCCTCCTGCCTAATTATGGACACTGACGCGCCGGTATCAAGTAACCAACTACGCGACACGTGGAATACATCTAAATTAATAGAGTTAATATTGTGGCAATAAAAATGTTCATGCACGAAAAAACAAGTTATTATTTTGATTTTCATTCTGCACTTCAGGATTTTCTTGTAAACGCTCACTACCACTCGACTCAGCTAGCCTAATTTGGTGTTGACGAGCTCTCTCTGTGAAAATTATTGGAGGTCAAAAGAACCTTAAATATTGACACTAAATTTTAAAATGAATAAATAAATAAAGTAAGCACAAAGATAAATAATAATGAAATGATAAAAATATGAGAAGATATAATGAAATAAATAATTAATGAACAGGTACCGGAGAGTCCTGTATATAAATAATTATAATGTGCTTACATGTGTATAAGGTTATTGTGTACCTTACGATAGTGGAAACTTTGAAATAAAATATATTATGTGTACCTAGTTATAAAAGAAATAAAGGTTTAGGGTAAAGGAAAAAGATTAAATGATAATGAATAATATGTAAGAGGGACAAAATTGATAATAGCATTTTAACAAATATTTTGTTACAATTGTCAACAGTGCGAATAATATTATTTAAAAATATTTAACAGTTTAAAAAAAAAAAATCTATTAGCATATTTTTTTAAAAAAAAACGGGGGAGGTGTAGTGTGTGTGACACCTCGCCCTATAAGTAAGTAGTGTAAGTTAGATATTAGGACACTCAATTAAAGTTACTCCTAACACCAACACGTCTCCCTCATTGCTCCACATTGCATGGCGACCCTGCCAGTGCTGCCACGCGGGCAGCGCTGCGCACGAGTACAATGTTGATAATTAGTGTTTGTGGAAAATAATAAAGACTATTTTAAAAGTGGACTAAAGTGCGTATCAGTGTTAGCAAAAATGCAAAAAAAAGGAGATATTGCTGGCTGCCGGGTGTCGATGCAGCCAGATGTGGACCTGCCGGGAGCAGTTGGTGTCCTAGAGGATGGAGCCGGGAGATGTTGGCGACCAGGTAGCGTTTGAGAGAATCTCCGCTACCCTGGGTACGTGATGTAACCGGACTCGAAAGTACTTACTTTGTGTTTAAATGTTTAGTGTATTAGTGTAGTTAAAAAGTGAAAATGGACACTAGTATATAGAACTGCAGTAGTAAGATAAACATTAAAGGCCCAACGTATATTATGTAATTTTAGTTATTTCATATAATTTTAAACATTTTATTTATAATATATGTATACACTAGATATAGTTCACGCCTGTTGACAATATTATAAGTTTTGTATTGAATCATTTTATGCTTACTATTATTTTAAATGAATTAATGTGAAATCTTACAAATATTTTGTTGTAATTTAGATATTTTTTTTTCTATTTCATAGTTTGCTAACATTAATCAGATTAAAGGAATGTTCCCATGGCCATATAAGTAAATGATGTCATACCAAGTGTCAGATTGTATTGAAAGAATCGTGTTACTCGACACCGATTAACAATAACAACTGCACTTTGGTTTTGTCTTGTGAAATAAATAAATTAGATAAATGAAATTTGATATTAGCTAGGTTTTGGAATGTGTTTATTGTTCGTATAAGTATGTAAGTTTGGATTTTAGGTAGTTCGGAATGACTTGGTACACAAGTTTTGGCGTATGACTGAAGGCTGATCACCTAAGGACAACGTAAAATTTTGTCGACCAAGCTATTTAATTGGATTGTGTTTATGTTAGGTTTGACAGTTAAGAATAAGTAAATAATAAATATAATAGGTACACATGGTAAGGTACAGTTTAGTGTTCATGTCCTCAGTTTGATCATGGTGTAGACGAGCTCTCTCTGTGAAAATTATTGGAGGTCAAAAGAACCTTAAATATTGACACTAAATTTTAAAATGAATAAATAAATAAAGTAAGCACAAAGATAAATAATAATGAAATGATAAAAATATGAGAAGATATAATGAAATAAATAATTAATGAACAGGTACCGGAGAGTCCTGTATATAAATAATTATAATGTGCTTACATGTGTATAAGGTTATTGTGTACCTTACGATAGTGGAAACTTTGAAATAAAATATATTATGTGTACCTAGTTATAAAAAAAAACGGGGGAGGTGTAGTGTGTGTGACACCTCGCCCTATAAGTAAGTAGTGTAAGTTAGATATTAGGAGACTCAATTAAAGATATTCGTAACACCAACACGTCTCCCTCATTGTCTCCACATTGCACACCTGAGGTTTTGCAAGTGCGTTGCCTTTTTTTCTCCTCTTATAATATCTTCTGATTCACTTCGTTGCGGGAACCAAGACAGTTATTCATGTCTCTGGGACGCGCCGGACTTCAATGCTCCGGTGTTTTCATGGTTGTATCTACTGTAGATCCTGGCTTACAGGAATTGCAGCGGTTTTGGGAAGTTGTGGCGGGCTTGTCCCATTAAAAAAAATGTGCGTTGCCGGCTTTTTGGGGATTAGGAATTCAAGGATTTGGGGTTTCGGGAAGGGGGTCATTGGACCTCCGGTATTCTCACTCACACGCCTGCACACAACGCTGTGGTTGTTTCACTATGGTTTCCTGCTCGTTGGTGGTATCACTCCGGTCGAGCCGGCCCAGCAGTGCCGAAGCATGGCGAGCTTACACTTGAATGAATTAATTTCCCCATTTGTTTCCAAACAGAATATTTCGGCAAGCCCCAAGGAGCGCTAGTGAACGTAGCGCTGGGTGGGTGCGCGGGCGCCATTGCGCAGACGGCGTCGTATCCGCTGGACATCGTGCGCCGGCGCATGCAGACCGCGCGCCGCCGCCCCGACGGGACCTACCCCTACAAGAGCATCGGACAGACACTGGTCGTCGTTTATAAGTGAGTTTTATATCATTTACTAGCGGACCCGACAGACGTTGTCCTGCATATGTATGAAAGGAAAGACCAATATTGTTAGTTTAGGATAAATATCCTAGACATCGTCTGCAGCGCCATCTGCCGGGCTGATTGTGAATCTAAACGATCCAGGGCGCCACTCAAACGCATACAGAAAAATTCATTTAAATCGGTCCAGTCGTTTGAAAGAAGTTCAGTGACATACACACTCACAGAAGAATTATATATTTAAAGATATTAGCCAACTAGCTACCCGGCTTCGCACGGGTGCAATGCTTATGTAATTTACAACATCACATTAGAAATCTCTAAATTGATCAGTGTTTCTCTACTATATTATGCATGTATTATACATATAAACCTTCCTTAACATATAAACCTTTTCTTCTTCTCCTCTTATAATATCTTCTGATTCACTTCGTTGCGGGAACCAAGACAGTTACTCATGTCCCTGGGACGCGCCGGACTTCAGAGTTCCGGTGTTTACATGGTTGTATCTACTGTAGATCCTGGTGCACAGGAGTTGCAGCGGTTTTGGGAGGCTGTGGCGGGGCTGTCCCTTTAAAAAAAATATAAACCTTCCTTAAAAATCACTCTATCTATTAAAATAAATCGCATCAAAATCCGTTGCGTAGTTTCAAAGATCTAAGCATACATAGGGACAGACAGACGGCGGATAGCGACTTCTTTGTTTTATACTATGTAGTAATATCTAAATGAATTGTTTTGATTTTCGTTATACTCACGTAATTATTTAAGGGAGAACTTGACTAGTTTTAAAGCTTGGGGCTCATATTCAGTAACAGCGCGACAGTCCCCCCATCGCGGGTCGCGGAATGCTGCTCATGAATATGAGCCTCTAGCATGGCTTGAAACTAGTCGAGTTCCTCGTCAAATAATTTCGTGAGTATAACGAAAAACATAATAATTAATTTATTATGTCTCACGAAAGTTGTACATAGCTACTATTTAGTGGTACACCGTACATATAAAGCTTCCTCTGGTATTACTCTATCTATAAAAAAGAACTTCTGTTGCATAATTTTTGAAATCTAAGCAAACAGACGGTGGAAAGCGACTTCTTATTATACTATGGAATAGGGAGTAAACGAGCAGACGGATCATACCTGATGGTAAGCAATCGGCGTGGACATGGACACTTGAAACACCAGAGGCGTTACAAGTGCGTTACCGGCCTTTTCGGGGTTGGGAATTTGAGGATTGGTGGGGATTCTGGGATTGGGGAGGGGGTTATTGGGCATCCGATAACCTCACTGAGTTGAGGTGAGGTTAAGGGGAGTGGTGGTAGCCAAAAACGCTAGCGTTGTTTTAGGTCTGTTTTCTGCTCGACCGTGCGAACGAGTCGACATAGCAGTGCCGAAGTATTGTCCTCCCAGTTGAATTTAATTTGAAATAACGACTGCCTCGTTGGCCGAGTGGTCGCAAGTGCGACTGCCGGGCAGGGGGTCTCGGGTTCGATTCCCGGGTCGGGCAAAGTATTACTAGGTTTTTAAAAAATTCTCAGTAGTAGCACGGAGTCTGGAATTGTGCCCGGTATATGACAATAGGCTCACCCCCTATTACATGGGACTCATAACATAAATAGTGAATAGTGGGTGTTACATTGTATAGTGGTGTAATGTGCACCTCTGCCTACCCCTTCGGGGATAAAAGGCGTGATGTTATGTTGAATTTAATTAGAAATTTATCTAAAAACCGTACAATATTTCATGTATTTGTAACACAACACCATCGTCTTCCAGGTGCGAAGGTTGGCGTGGTTTCTACAAGGGACTTAGTATGAACTGGGTCAAGGGGCCCATAGCGGTCGGCATATCGTTCGCCACGTACGACGCCATCAAGAATACGCTCCGAGATGTAGCTGTACACTTCAATAGCTAGCCGAGGAGTGACCTTGGGATTTGGAAGGAGCGACCTTGGGATTGGAGAGGAATGACCTTGGGATTGGGGAAGAGTGACCTTGGGATTGTGAAGGAGTGAATGTGGAATTATAGAGGAGTGAATTTTAAACTGTTGGAGGACAGCCTTGGAATCATAAGGCAATGACCTTGAAACTGTAGATTTGAGGCGTAAAAAGTAAGTTTTTGAAAGTCTTACGATCAAATACTGAAAGGGCACTCAATTTTAAATTGTACTCAAATATCGTGCTATCTCTGTCGTTTTATATAGAACTAGCTGTGCCTGTGTTTCGTCCGCGTGGAATGGTGATTCACAGCTCCTCCCCCATAGGTGATAGCGTGATTATATGTTGCCTATATGTTGACCCGACCTGTTAGTAATATTCATACAAAATTTGAAGTAAATCCATGCAGTATTTTTTGAGTTTAGACCGGACATACATACAGACAAACAGACAAAAATGATAAAATACCATATTTTTGGTTTCGATATCAATTGTAGATCACGCCGCATTATTTTAAAGTCGCTGAGGACTTAACGGGTAACCGGGGCTCCGGCTCTACGTGCAGGAGAAGGAACGGGGTGGTTTTTAGTCAGTAAGAGTCTGACACTCCCTCCCGCCTCACCCGGGCGGAGGAAGTCATTCGATGATTTTTCCCCCTTAAAAAAGCATTATTTACAGTTTTCACTTTCCTACGATTTTATTATATGTATAGATTTAAGTGATAGAACTATACTTGTTTTTAAGCGGGGAAAATCATCAAATTACTGCTCCCGCCTGGGTGAGGCGGGAGAGAGTGTCAGACTCTTACTGACTAAAAACCACCCCGTTCCTTCTCCTGCACGTCGAGCCGGAGCCCCGGTAATCCGTTAGGTTCTCCGCGACTCTCAATCGGTTTCAGCCCGTGGTCCGTGGTGGTCTGATGGCTCTTTGTGTCGCGCGGACCGCTCGGCGCCGTACCCTCGGGTCTGTTTCTGGTCGGCCGACGAGCCACCCATGCTGTATGTCCTCCGGCCCGCGCTTACGGTGGCCGGAGATCGTCCCGCGATCCCCGACGCCCGGTGTGTCCTTCGCGATGGCTGGGTTGCGAGGACGCGTCCCGCCTCCTCCTTAGCTAGCATGACTGCTTAGCAAAAGGAGGAGACGGCATCCCGGTCCTCCTCGCTCCGCATCATGACCTGGATAGAACTGTACTTGAGAGCTTCTTTGAATTAGGGGACGTTTCAGTATTTGATCATTAACAGCTTGATTGGAGTTGAGTCATTTTGGAACCGCGAAATAAAGGAGTATCCTTAAAATTATAGATTTACCTAAACAAGTAAGTTATAAGAATCTTATATTGTTAAGAATAATGAACAGAAATCTTAAAATGAAATTGGATTTTTGTAAAAAAACTTGTTTAACTTTTAGGTGTGTTTTGAGTTATGTCAGTTAAGATGTAGTAAATTGAAGGCTGTTAGGTTCGATTCTGTGTCATTAAGTAGTTTTTGAAACTAAGGCAACGATCAAAATTATGTTTAAATTTTTAAAATAGATATTCCAAGGGTTTTTTTTTATTTTCACTCCGCTATTACCACATCCTGTATAATGTCAAATGTCAGATGAGCTGTTGTCAAATGTCAATTTGTTGAAATGTCATGATATTATCGACTGTTAAGTATTTTGTATAGATTTATATCTTCCTAATAGGTATGTGTGTGTAAGCGATAATGAACTTTATATCAATGTAAATAGTTTATAATATTGTGTGGTACTCAAAATCGTATGTCAAAATCGATGTTAGATAAAAATCAACTCTGTTTCTTAGTGATTAAAGTTGATATTTGTGTGACAAAGATAGTTATGTTTCGTTTGCAACACTATCATTGTATATAAGATGTTATTTATCGCGTTCTCTGTCTAAATTATATTCTCTATCTTAGTCTAGCACATATAAAATGTCTTAAGAACGAATGAGATAGCAATATTAGCTAACTTTACTAAATAATATACCAAACTATGTTTACAGCTTAATCATTCAATTTTCAACTCTAATCCTATACACATAAATACTTCACAAGAAGCAAAAATTATTTTGCAATTATTGTAATTTGATGCAGTTACGATAAACCTTATTTTAAGAGCGATGGAGGTCAAAATTGATTGATAGAATTGTGATTAAAAGTTTGTTATAAAATCTATTGTAGTTAAGCTCTGATTTCTGATAAAGTTTTCATTAGTTTTAACTGACAGATATTAATATGACTTATCAATATAATGTACAGCGGGTGACAGTCCAGTGCTGCACTATGAGTGTCCTCTACATAAGAGGGTTTGTCACAATCTCCGCAGGCAGGCGGGTTGGAGGTCGCAGGGTACAAGGTTCAGGGTTATCAGAGAGCGCTGCTGCACGGGCTCTGTCTAATGTGGAGTGTCTTAGTCGGGTATACCACACCCGCGTCTGGAGTGCGAACTAATTCTGCCGCCAGTTTCTGTTAAATATGTAGCAGTAATAGTCCTTTAGTTGGGTTTACGACACCCGCGGGAAGATTGATGGTTGATCTTCTGACTGAATAGTAAAAATTTTTTTTTAAATACGTTGTCCAACACTATATATTTCTCCTGTGTCGTGGGTGCGTTTACAAACATACAAGTTCACATACACATGACACCCAGACCCGGAACAACAATTTGTGGATCACACAAAGAGTTGCTCCGGGAATCGAACCCGCTACACGTTTCGTGGCAGCCGACTGCTCAGCCACTGCACAAACCGTGCAGTATATTATATGATATCTGTCAGTTAAGCTATCAGAGACTTACAGTCAGTTTCAATAACCTATCTATCTGTAGATTTGCTTACTAGAGATAGAATTTTGACATAACTGGCTGGGCTGGTAGGAAGTTGGGTGTCCTATGGAGGGTGAGACGGTACTTCACGCCGAGACAATTGCTGAGCCTGTACCAAGCACAGGTTCGGTCCTGTATGGAGTACTGCTCTCATCTTTGGGACGGCTCGGCTAAATATCAGCTGGACGCGTTAGAGCACATTGAGAGGCGTGCCAGGAGGCTCATCGACGATGATGCGCTTGTGAAGGCTCGGCTTCAAAGCCTCGAACACAGGCGTAAGGTTGCAAGCCTTTCGGTTTTCTACCGGATACATTTCGGGGAGTGTGCGGGGGAATTGCACAACTTGATTCCCCCTAGTCCTTTCCATCATCGTACCACAAGACAATCCGCAAAGCGTCACCGATTCATGGTAGATGTTCCGCCCACACGCACGAAGCGCTTCGCATCAAGCTTCCTTGTGCGTACTGCTAAAGAGTGGAATTCTTTGCCAGAGTCTGTATTTCCTGAAGGGTATAACCAGGGAGTCTTCAAGGCCCGAGTGAATAGGTTGCTTATGGGACGACGTGCTCCATCGTAGACCGCATCATCGTGCACCACCAGGCGAGATAGTGGGCAAACGTCGCCCCAACAAATATTAAAAAAAAGCTCCATACAAAATGTGTCAAAATTCTATCTCTAGTAAGCAAATCTGAAGATAGATAGGTTATTGAAATTGGACGTTAATCAGTAGGTAGTTGTCTAAATAGTAATTGTAAGCTTTCGATGTTCTTAGTAAAGTGACTGAATACTGACAATAATTTAAATGTATTATAAACTTGATATTATTAGACGAACCCCGTTATTAAACTAATAACATCACGCCTTTTTAGCCCCGAAGGGGTAGGCAGAGGTGCATCAACACTTAATGCCACTGTACTATGTAACACCCACTTTTCACTATTTATGTTATGAGTCCCATGTAATAGGGGGTGAGCCTATTGCCATATACTGGACACAATTCCAGACTCCGTGCTACAGATAAGATTTTTAAAAACCCAGTAATACTTTGCTCGACCCGGGAATCGAACCCGAGACCCCTTGCCCGGCAGTCGCACTTGCGACCACTCGGCCAACGAGGCAGTCGTTTTATTAGACTAATAACTGTTTATAAACAGTTATTACGAAATAACGTTACCTTATAATACCTTTGCGCAACTTGTATTTCGTTTGCGCAAGTTGTATTTTGTTTGCGCAACTTGTATTTGGTTTGCGCAACTTGTATTTGGTTTGCACAACTTGTATTTGGTTTGCGCAACTTGTATTTGGTTTGCGCAACTTGTATTTGGTTTGCGCATCTTGTATTTCGTTTGCGCAACACATAATTTAGTTGCTTCGTTGTTGTCATGTTCGGGTCATAATTCGCGCAAATTATTATTGAAACTTTTGTGACACATACTGAATTTATTATGTTTTCGGCTTACTCACGTAACTGATTGACGAGGAACTCGACTAGCGCAACAGTCGCCACGTCGCGGATCGCGGAATGCTGCTCATGAATATAAACGTCTAGCATGATTTAAAATCTCCGGTCACTGTAAGCGCGGGCCTGCGGACGGCGAGCATGGGTGGCTCCCCGTCCGACCAGAAACAGACCCGAGCATACGGCGCGTCGCGTTCCGCGCGCGCCTCAAAGAGCCATCAGACCACCACGGATGGGGTCCAATAGGGCTGATGCCGATACGAAGTCGCGGAGAACCTAACGGGTTACCGGGGCTCCGGCTCGAAGTGCAGGAGAAGGAACGGGGTGGTTTTTAGTCAGTAAGAGTCTGACACTCCCTCCCGCCTCAGCCAGGCGGGAGAAGTCATTCGATGATTTTTCCCCCCTCAAAAAAAGCATGACTTAAAACTAGTCGAGTTCTTCGTCAATCAGTTATGTGAGTAAGCCGAAAATAATGATTAATTATTATTGAGTGTCTTGATGAAATAAAATGCATATACACAAGGAAAACAATTTATCAAACACAGTAACATTTATTTACTAAAAATCGCGGGTTACTCACGTGAATATACTGAGAAAAGCTCGACTAACTAAACTAAAAGCGCGATCGTGGCGATGTCGCGCACGCTGCTCATGAGGAAGAACCCCTCTGTGGTTCGATACTAGTAGAGCATT